AAATAAATTGTATATTTGAACCAATAATTGCAGTATTTGAAGCAAATATGAATTTAAGCATTTATAATTGACTCAAATAAAAATTATTTGATTCAAGTAAACATTTATTTGATAATAGACAAGTAATCGATTATTTGAATCAAATTAATTTGTTGTTAGTGTAAGTAATTGTTAATTAAGTAAATTATTAATGAAAAGTATTCATAATTTAGTTCAAAGTATTCAAATTAGAAAATTTTTTATTTTCGCATATCAACTTCAGTTTTTGAATAATTACAGATTCAAAATTTAGAAAAATAATCTTATTTTAACTAATTAAATATTTAAGTTTATTATTTTCAAAAATTTGAATAAAATTCTTTTGCAAGATTTCAATAATTGAAGGGCTACATAAAATAAGGGGACGAACGCGAGGCTTGGAAGGGATACTACCAGTCGGGTAGCAGTGACAAGCCTTGAGCCGCTCGCTGCTACCTGACTGATATTATCCCTTTCAACCATGCATGCGTTCGTCCCCTTATTTTATGTAGCCCTTCAATTTTTGTAATTAATACAATTCCTTTGCAGAAATTGAATTGTTTTCAAGACAATATAAATTTAAAAATTAAATTATTTTCAAATTATTTTCAATTCAATTTTAATTAAATTTCTATAAAGTATTTAATTATTTTCAAAAATTTCGCAAAAATTCAAAAATTTTAATAAAATTCTATTCAAGAATTAAATTATTTCTGATTCCAAACAATAACAGCTATTTAAAAATTATAACATTAAAGAAAATGGTATATTTTCAAAATTAAAGAAAAATTTACTAATTAACGCAAAATTATGGGCAAAAAAATAATACAAGACATTAAAATAAATGAAAATCAGTTTTCTAATAAGTAACATTAACCGTCTATTATTATTAGAAGTTAATTTTTCTACAATAATTTATTTCAGTAACATTTTTTGTGTTTTAAAATGTTAGATTTAATTTCAAACAATTTTGCTGAATTAATTTTTGTTATTATTTAATCTTCAAAACATTAAATTAGAATTTTATTAATTTTGAAATTCAAAACGTTAAAAAAAAATATTTAGAAAAAAAATTAAGAAATGAATTAATGAATAATTTATAATTTTATCAGTAATTAATAAATAATTATTAATTTTATTATAAATAAAACTTTGATGGGGTTAACGATCGCTCCGTGTCAAAATTTTATAAGTTTTATAATTATAATTAAGACTACCGAAAGTGATAAAGTCGGAAAATTAAATTATTGATTTTATTAGTAATTATCGAATAATTATTAATTAGGTAAATTTATAAACTAATTTACGTAAGTAGTTCGTAATGAATTTGACAGTTAACTAATTATTATTATTATTATTAGTTTACTAATTAAATAATTTTATTAAATAATACCAATTCTTAATTAATTATTCAGTTATTAACTAATTATTAATTATGTTATAATGATTGTTAAGTAATTATTAATAACTTAAATTGTTAATAATTGTTTTAAAAAATAACTAATTCAATATTTTAGTTTCAAACTAAAAAGAACAAATTTGAAATTAATTTTAAATTTTACGTTATAAAAATCAATATTATTTACAATGCAATAAAATTTTATTCCGTCTTATAGCAATTCCGGTTTTTTTATATGGTGCATCGAGGAATGTTTTATTGCCCATATAGAATTGAATTTTATAATGAAACAAAAATATGCAAATTTTGTTTGGCATTATTTTTTTCTTTTTGCCTTTTTTTAGATAAATGTATTATATAGGTTTTTTTTATATTTGGACTTTTGCGAATAAAAATAAATGATTCGAGAGCTACTTCAGGAGGAATTTTTGTAAAATTAGAATAATTAATACTGTCTGAATGAATAGTTTTTTTTCTTTTTAATTACTGAGAAGCAAAAATAGTCGAGAGAGACACGCAGTCAGCATCGATAGTATAACTAAAAGTCTGAGATCAGTTTCGGTGTCAAGGTATTCCAGGATATCATCGCAAATACGACCTTCTTTATCAAAAAATGGATACAAATAATTCATTATGACACTCTTTTCAAAGGGAAATGACCCGAGAATATCATAATATAGAAGTATTATCGTTAAGAAATGCAGAAAAATTAATTGTAAATTGGTGGAATTTTCAATTCAGTTTCTATTCAAAATGGAATATTTTTTTCTTATTAATAATTTTGGAAATTTCGAAAAATTACTATTTTGTTAATAATTAACAATTATTTGTTAATTAATACCAATTCAATGACAAATTTTGAAATTTCGAAAAATTACAATTTTGTAAATAATTAACAATTATTTGATAATTATTTATTTGATGATTAATTATTATTTACTGATTTATAGTAAATGATAAAATACTAATAGTAATTTTTTGGTACTTGGTAATTACATTTTTTCAATATAATTAATAACGAATAGATTTTTGTGTTACATATTTATAATAATAATAATAATAATAATAATTATTATTATTATTATTATTATTATTATTATTATTATTGTTATTATTGTTATAATTTCGATAACAATAAAAATTGAATATAATTATTTTTTTACGATTTATTCCTTTGTTTCTATAAATTAAATAATCGGAATAATGAATTCCATTGGAATCAATAATTAACACGTAAAAATAATTATTAAATTATATCGATTAAGATATTTATTTTCTGCTATCGTTTCGATAATTTATTTGCGTTGATTCATTTTGTGCTATATTTTATCACAAAAAAAATGATAAAAGTTCAATAAAGTGAAAAAGTTATTTTTAATTGTAAAATTTTTTTATTTTGTAAAAATTTTCTTTTTCCTTCTATTTCAAAGCGGGAAATTTGTTTTCATCAAAACAGTTTGCTTTATCGATTGAAAAATATAAATTTTTCTTAAAATATTCCTCGAGAGAAAGAGAGACTCTTTAGTCAGAAAAAATTTATTTTAAAAATTTTTTCTCGATAACTAAGTTAATATACTTAAAGGCGAATAAAAAATTAAATTAAAATCTGAAAAACACAAGAGGAAATTTGTATTTTAATTTAATAGAGTTAATTGACATGTTTTGTAATTATTTCAAAATGATGGAATTAAAAATTCATGTTATTTTCAAAAAATAAAAAAAAATAGATCAATCTTCTTTGAAAATAATGCGTAAATCGTGCTTAATAGGAAGGAAAATAATGGAGATAATCAAGTCTACCAGTCGTCGTCGAACTGTCTGGAATGACACGTGAACCTCGCGTGATTCGCGAATTGTATAAATAAAATATAGAGACATTTCTTTTCTTCTTTTTTTGAAAATGGATTTTAAAAATTGTTATTATGATTATGCAGGATGTATGGTATGAAAAAAAGCAGTTAACGTTAGAAAGTTGTGCAAGCAACATCAAAAACCGGAATCTATTGGAATGCAAGTCCCGATGTCCCGACGCCTATTTAAATCGACGTCCACGTTTCTTTTAAAATTTCAATTCAAAACAAAAAACAAAAGTTTTTACAATTTTTATAGCAATTTTATTGTCATTTTTAATGCTATTTTTACTTTTGACAATTTTCCAAAGTATTTTTTGTAATTTGCAAATTTTTAATATTTTCCAACATATTTTTTTTAGTAATCACGTTCTTTGAAATTTTAAATCAAAAACAAAAACCGAAAATTTTGCAATTTTTTCCAATTTTTTTACAATTTTTAGGAAAAATTTTGTTCTTAAAATGTTTTCAGTATTTTAGTAATTCTTAATTTTGAAATTTTTTTAATATTCTTTTATTACAGTCACGTTCTTTTAAAATTTTAATTTAAAACAAAAACCAAAATTTTTTACAATTTTTATTTGCAATCTTTATTTTTGAAAATTCGCAAAAGTATTTTTTGTAACTCTTAATTTTGAATATTTTTGAATATTCTTCTTTTTGGTAATCACGTTCTTTTAAAATTTTAATTCAAAACAATAACTAAAAGTTTTTAAATTTTCACTATTTTTATTTCAATTTTTGAAAAATTTTCCAAATATATTTTTTTTAATTTGTAAATTTTGAATATTTTTCAATATATTGTTTTGTAATCACGTTTAAATTCAAAATGAAAACGAAAAGTTTTTACTTTTTTTGCAGTTTTTATTTTTGAAAATTGTCAAAAGTAATTTTTTGTTATTTAGCAATTTCAAGTATTTTCCAATATTTTTCTTTTTGGTAATCACGTACTTTAAAATTTTAATTCAAAACAGAAGCCAAAGTTTTTGTATTCTTTACAATTAAGAGTTAAAACTTTTGTTTATTCTTTACAATTATTAATGAAATTTTTATTTTTGAGAATTTTCCAAAGTATTTTTTGGTGATTTGTAAATTTTGTATATTTTCCCATTTTGTTTCGTAATCATTTTCCTTTTTGAAATTTTAATTACAAAAAACCAAAAAGTTTTCTTTTTTTCAATTTTTATTGCAATTTCTATTTTCGAAAATTTACCAAAGTATTTTTTTTATCTCAATTTTAAATAGATTCAAATATTTTTCATTTTTGGTAATCACGTTCTTTAAAATTTTTTAATTCAAAACAAAAGTCAAAAGTTTTTGCATTCTTTACAAATAAGAAAGTTAAAACTTTTGGTTTTTGTTTATTGTTTACAATTTTAATTTTTAGAATTTTCTAAAATATTTTTTGTGATTTGTGAATTTTGAATATTTTTCCATTTTGTTTCGTAATCATTTTCTTTTGAATTTTTAATTGCAAAAAACCGAGTTTTTTTCAATAATGCAATTTCTATTTTTTTTGTAGTTCTCAATTTTAAATGTTTTCAAATATTTTCCATTTTTGGTAATTTTGGAAAATTTGCGACAGAAGAAATTTTGCAAATTGAAAAAAAGGTTAATTTATTTTTAAATTAAAAATTTATCATCTAGGAAACTGGAAAAAAACTTTTGAGAATGAAGTAAAATTGTTTGTGAAAAGTTTTCTTTGAAATTTGCTTGTAAGAAGTAAAATTTACCCCATTCATTTGCTTAGCCGGTGCCTTGGACTCAAAGGTCATTGAAACTCCCTCCGTTTGTGTCATTTTTGATATAATTTTTTTAATTATTGTCGAGAAATTTCCTCCTTTGTAATTGAATAATTATAACTTCAAGTTCAATATCTTCGGTTATTTTTTGTCTTATCAGATAAAATTCTCTTTTGTTAAATAGGAAAATGAAATGTGTATTAATTTTTATACACTCTTTCCTCAACCCCAAAATAATCCATTTAAATCCTTGAAGGGGGAGAAAAGAAACCAATTCACTTGTTGAATGTTTCACTGTAAATTTTGAATTTAAAAAGCCGGTAAAAATCACTATAGTATTAATTTATTGCATTTTTCATCCAAGAAATTTTTGCTTTGTGCTCCGAAAATAGTATTAAAAATAGGAAGAGTTCTATTTTTCCTCGTTCTGACATGTTTGAAACAATCACAAATATCTTGAATTCGATTTAAAAAAAATTTCTTCTTCCTTCTTGGAATTTTCTTTTTCTTTTATTTTTGGCGAGTTTTTCACAAATTCACTTTTTTTTGCTAGAATGTTTTATTCTGTCGGAAAAAAAAATTTGCAAAAAAAAATGTTCTTTTTTTGATAATGATAGAGTGGTCAGAACGACCCTTCGAGACCGGCCGGCTTACACACACTGAATTCCAACTGGATCATGCTAGTAGATGACTTGAGATCCCTACTCTGTAGCATGGCAACTGCAGTAAAGCAAGAACTCTACAGTGTGTAGAGTGCTCAGACAAGACAAGATTAACGAGACTCGCCAAGCGCCAAAGCATGGACAAAGATTTCAGGATGTATTTGCCGGTCAGTTGTAGATTGGTTTGGACCATTTATGTCCGGTGTGGAGATTTTTTTTTTAAATTGACCATGTACCACCGGAGGCGAAAAATATTTATGGATTCAAAAATACTTTAAATTTTCTTGCAATATTCCATTCACCGTTATTAAAAAAAAATTTTTTTTTTGCAAAATGCTCTCTAAATCTCAATTAATAAAAACTTTTGTAATAAATATTATGAGTTATGAAATAAACAAATAAGTGATAATAATAAATAGTATAACAATAAATACAGTCGACTCTCGATAAATTAAATCTTACTCTCTACATTCGAATTAGTAAAAATATTTTATACTAATTTTAATTACGAACAAAAAGTTTTGAACGTTCAAATGAACGAAATATTTTTTGTTAAAAATATTTTCATAGATTATTGATTACAATTCAAATTAAAAACTCAAATTTTACATCTAGAAACATTATAATTAATTTGCTTAATAGTGACGCAAAATTATAGTAATAAAAATTTAATTTGAAGAAGAAATAAATAAATTTCGTTCATTTGAACGTTCAAAACTTTAACCTCCTTTTTAATTAGTGACTGACTTTTCGCTTTCCAATTACAGGGTTGCCACAAAAATTTAATTTTGTTTTTCCCTGACTTTCCCCTGATTAAAAAAAAAAATTTTCTTTTTTCCTGACCCTAAAGAATATTCTGATTCACTCTAAAAATTATTAGATACTCATAAAAATGTTCCATTACATTTAATTACGAATTTCCTTGATTGTAAAATTATTCAATGTCTTCATTTTTAAATAAATATTTAATCATTATTATTTTTCACAGGAATCAAGATTTTCAAAAATTTCAAATTCAAACCTTTTTGAAATTTAACAACTTATAAGAATATTTATTATAAAACATAAAGAAATTGATTACTCTGAGTATATTGCGAAGAATTTTATAAAAAAAAGTTTCAAACAATTGATTTTTTTGGGAAAAGATGTATGCAAAATCTATTATTAATAATTGAATTTTTGTGATGAATTAATATTGATTATTTATGAAAATAATTGACTTCCTTCGAATGATTTCATTTTTTATGAAAATAATTAAATCCCTGAAAAGAATCTTAAAATTTATGAAAATAATTGAATTACTGCGAATAATTTATTGTCAAATTTTAAAACACTTGCTTTTTCGAAAAAATGTATGCTAATTCTATTTTAAATAATTGAATTCCTGTGAAATTTTTATTGTTTTTGAAAATAATTGAATTTTATTGTACAATTTTGTCAAAATGTTTGTTTAATAATTGAATTCTTTAGGGAAATTTTATTACAATAGTTAAATATTGAAAATCATTGAATAATTGAGAAAATTTTTTGAAAATAATTGAAATTTTGCCATGAATTTTATTAAAATTTTTTAAAATAATTGAATTCTTGTGATGAATATTGTTATTTATGAAAATAATTGAATTTTGCAATTAATTTTATTAAAATTCCTGAAATTAATTGAATTTTACAATGAATTTTATTAAAATTCCTGAAAATAATTGAATTTTCTCGAAGAATTTTGCTATTCACTTATAAAGATAATTAAAATGTTGACAATTTTTTTTAGATTTTTTGAAAATAATTGAATTTCTGAGAAGAATTTTATTAAAATTTTTGTAAATAATTGAATTCTTGTGATGAATATTGTTATTTATGAAAATAATTGAATTTTACAATGAATTTTATTAAAATTTATGAAAATAATTGAATTACTGCGAAGAATTTAATGCCAAAATTTAAAAGATTTACTTTTTCAAAAATATTTATGCTAATTCTATTTTAAATAATTGAATTTCTGTGGAATTTTTATTTTTTTGGAAAATAATTGAATTTTAGTGTAGAATATTGGCAAAATTTTTGTGTAATAATTGAATTTTTTAGGGAAATTTTACTAAAATAGTAGAATATTGAAAATCATTGAATTAAGAAAAATTTTTGAAAATAATTGAAATTTTGCCATGAATTTTATTAAAATTTTTAAAAATAATTGAATTTTTGTGATAAATATTGTTATTTTTGAAAATAATTGAATTTTACAATGAATTTTATTAAAATTCCTGAAAATAATTGAATTTTGTTGAAGAATTTTGCTATTCACTTATAAAGATAATTGAAATGTTGACAATTTTTTTTATATTTTTTGAAAATACACTGAGAAAACATTATACTTAAATGAAACACAAAAATAATGTTAGACAATTTTGTTTAATTGAAATTAGTTTGTAAGTTTAATCTCAATATATAAAAAATATCTACTGCATTAATTCAAAAGTATTATTTGTTTGAATAATTATATTTAATTTAAACATATTTTCTGTTACGGTTTAAACAAAAATTATGTTTAAAAATTTTATGTTTGAATCAAACTTAAAAGTTGACTACAGATAATTTAAAATCAATCACAATTTATGTTTGATTTCAATATATAATCTCTTAAACTGAACCAGAAAATATGTTTGAATTAAACTTAAATATGTTTGACTGTACAGCAAAGATATTTTAAGTTTGATTTAAACAAAATTTGTTTGAATCAAATAATTTCTTTTCTCAGTGTAATTGAATTTTGTCGAAGAATTTTATTAATTTTGAAAATAATTGAATTCTTGTCATGAATATTGTTTGTTTATGAAAATAATTGAATTTTGTCGAAGAATTTTATTAATTTTAAAAATAATTGAATTCTTGTGATGAATATTGTTATTTATGAAAATAATTTAATTTCGTCGAAGAGTTTTGCTATTCATTTATAAAGATAATTGAAATGTTGACAATATTTTTTAGATTTTTTAAAAATAATTGGATTTCTTCGAAAAATTTTATTAATTTTAAAAATAATTTAATTCTTGTGATTAATATTGTTATTTATGACAATAATTGAATTTTACAATGAATTTTCTGGAAATTTTTGAAAATAATTGAATTTCTGGAAAGATTTTTAATATTTATTAAAATAGTTGAATTCTTTTAAAGAATTGCATTAAAATTTTTAGAATTGAAATTAAAATTTATTAAAAAAATACTCCATTAAATGATTTGTAAGTATAACTTTATGGTAGTTCTTCAATAGAATTAAGTTATTTAAAATAAATTGTTGTCATAAATAGAAAAAATTGAAGCTTTTTTCAGAATTTGTGGTAATTTTATATTTTATGAGGCAAATAAAAATATGAATAAGTTATTATATCTATTAAATAGTAATTTCTAATTTATTAGTAAAATTTACAAATTTAAATTGAAAATATGAAGTAGGAAAAATAGAAAATGAAAATTTATTTGCAAAGTGGAAACATTTACAAAATAGAGAAATAAAAATATTCGTAATAATATTTTTCAATGAAATCATTTGGAAAGTAGATGAATATTAAAAGGCGCGACATTAACCGTCTGTGAGAAAGTATTTTTAACTAGACATTAATTTTTTTTTCTTTTTTTTTCATGAAAAACTGGTCGTAAAGGTTCGCTACTTCGTCTAGGTTAAAGTTGGCGTAGGTCGGTACAGTTATAGAGTTACGAAGCTTGAGTAGGCGTTTCATATCTTTTTCAGACATGAAGAAAGTTAAAACGAGTGAGACAGAGGCGAGAACGAATAAGAAAAAAAATCAGGAGAATATCTCTGATAAGGCACACCACACGTTGCAACTTTAGGAAGAGTGACAATAACAATTTTATAATCTGCATCTTTTAAATAGCAAGTACCTTGATTCATATCTCAAGGTTTGTTCTCTCATATAAACTGTCTTTATAAAACACACTTTATTGATTTCAATTCAAATTAATCAGTTTTCAACCGTTAGCACATTATAATAATTCTAAAGTATTTTATACTGTGAAAAGTATTTTATCACAATTTTTGAAAATTAACTTTTGGAGAATTTTAATTGCAAATTTTGATAATAATTGAATTAACAAAAATTTTAATGAAATATCTTCATTTATTATGTAATGAACATAAATAAAAATTACAGGCTTCTAAAAATTATACCATAAAATATTTTTCGAAAATAGTAATTCTTAGAATTTTTTAATTCTACACGGAGAGACCCACATTCGTAAAAATTACTAAAAATGGTTGCAATGACCGGAAATAAGGGGACTTTTAGCATAATGTGCTACAGAATTAGATAAATTTACAAAAGAAATAGATAAATTTGCTACATTGAAATAGCAAGTTTTAATATTTTGTGTAAGAGTTGTAAATGTAGCAAAAATTGATTATAGTTTTCTCTAATTTAATTAGACAAAATCTGACAAATGAAAACATTTTCCACTAAAACCTACGATCCACTGTAGTAATTTTTGGTGAGCAAGTGTGGCTAGCGAGTGCAGTCATATGGCGCCTGCATTTCTATTGGTTGCTAACTTCGTCAATCTCCGTAAATGAGCCGATGCCATCCGATCATTGACAGTGACTATGTTTCGCGTATGTAAAATAAATTTGGATATTATCTACAATAATTAAATATAAAGTGAAACGTAGGTCGTTCGGTATCTCAGAAATTGACCATTATAAATTAATAAACTTTGCATTTATTCCTGTCCCAAGAACTATGTCTTATAATAAGTTGTTAAAAGTAAATTGCTTTCTCGTAAGTGCTGTAAATTTTCATCATTCAATATATAAGGAAACAAAGATGTATACTTTCAGTGAAATTCGTTGTCGTGCGTGCAGTTGTGTATTAGTGTATTAATTAACCGCGTCTATATATATAAGTGAAATAAACATGTGTGTGTCTTCAAATATATAAGTGTGTGTGTGTCTGTGTATGTAAAAATCCTTCCAGTTTGTCTCCATTAGTCAAGAATTGACGGGAAACCGGCGACAAAAATCCGTATTTTTTCTTTCACTCTTTCTTTCTGCATTTACAAACGACTGTAGTAATTTTACGTACACAATGCTTCTGAGTTTACTACAGTTATTTGGAACTATTGGACGAAATAGTAAGAAACTTTGCTAATTTGGTGAACATTTGTCGGGATTAGTGACTTAGTGTAGAAAATAGTAAAAAATACAAAAAGTCCCCTTATTTCCGGTGGTTGCAATGTGAAAATAGTAAATTCTAGTGTGATTTTATACAAAAATTAGTAATCTCGGTCTCTCCGTGTAATATTTTTTAATTCATCATAATTTTTTAAGATTCAATCCATCTTCGAATAAAGTGAATAAAATTTTTGAAAAATATACATTTTTAGACTTATTAAAATTTTGTAGAAATCAAGTTCGTATTGACAATTAAAATTCTTCAAAAATTTGATTGTTTTTTTTTTATATTTTTCAAAAATTAGATTATTTTTAAAAGATTTTACAAAATTTTAATTATTTTCTTTTTTAAATTTTTTAAAATTATTCTAAAAAAATTTTACCAAATTTTAATTAATATTTAAAAATATTTTATCAAACTTCAATTATTTTTTAAAATATTTCACTAAATTTCAATTATTTGGAAATTTTTTAATTGCATTGTATTATTAAAAAACTATTTCCTTTCAAGAATTATTTTAAAATATTTAAAAAAAATTAATATTCAGAATTTCTTTATTATAATTTTTAGAAAATATTAAACCGTAATAACTTTATAAAAAAGAATAGTTACAGTTACAATTATTATAAAAATTGAATTTTTGTATTTAAATAATTGATTTAAAGATCAAGTTTAGTTAAAAATTTATAATATTTTATTTTATTTATTTTTAATAAGTTTATAATAAAAATGATAATAATAAATAATAATAATAATAATAATAATAATTTTTGAAATTAAAAAAGTAGAACTTTTTTAATAAAATAGCAGCAAAGATTTCTAAAACACGATTGATATTAACATATATACATTTAATATTGATAAAGAAAATTTCTGTTGAGTTTCGCACTTTTTTGCAATCTTATTTACATTCTATTAGAGAACAAAAATAGTCTAAATATATAAAAAGAAAAATGAAATTGTGGTGATTGTGCCTGTGTAAATTTGGCATTATAATTTCTTGACAAAATTAATTCTTTCTGAAACTCTTGACAAAATTAATTCTTTCTGAATCATACATACGACAAATACACATACACACACACACCTTTTGTTGTTACACTGAATATTTTCAAATTGTTGTACTTCTCATTTTCACACATTTTTTGTACCTAAAGTGCTCAGGGCAAACTGTTTACCGAAGATACCTCTTTTTTAATCCTTAACAGCCAAACTTTCTTTTTTATTGCAAACGTCTGTTTTCTTATTACCTTACCTATCCTATTCAAGGTTAGGGACAAAATCGACCATCGACCCGATCATAAAAATCGGTTCGGGGAGGATTAAGATAACTCGAGTACCCACTCCCACTCGTACCTCATCTTCTTTCCTTTTCTAATTACCATTTTCTATCCTTTTTCTATTTTCCCAATTGAGAAAAGGTCCTCCATTTTTGCCAGTTACTTACCCGCCTTTGCACTGAGCACAAGCACACATCTTAGCTTCAAATATTTTACAATAAATATATATTTTAATTTAATCGCAGCCATTTCATTTGAATACTCCCTTACCACTAAAGTGGTGACCCCGACGTGATTTTCTTCGAGTGAAATACAGTGATAAGTGAGTGTTGTTTATTTCACGATTAAATTTGTGTTTTGTGTGATACGTTAGTCAAAATGCCCGCCGATAACAATGTGCAGCTTCAAAATCAGATAGCGCAAGCTGTCGACGATGCATTAAGCACAAGGCGTCAATTTGGACGTCCTCCAGCATATATACCTGCGGATCCGGAATTATGGATCTCACTCATGGAGCGATATTTCAAATCCGCAAAAGTGACCTCAGATAGTGAAAAATTTGATCAAGTAGTACAGAATCTTGACCCACGTGTAACTGTCGTAGTGCGTGATCTAGTCGTCAACGTGCCGGAAACTGACGCGTATGAAACATTAAAAGCGAAACTAATGAAACGTTTAGGTTCTACGCAAGAACAGAAAACTAGACAACTTCTCGAGCGTGAAGAACTCGGGGATAGGAAACCATCGCAATTTCTCCGCCACCTTCAATCTCTCGCGGGTACAGCCGTTACAGATTCAGTGATAAAAACTCTGTGGCTAGGAAGACTTCCCCCCACTACACAAGTAGCGTTAGCCGGTCACAGTTCCTTATCACTCGAACAATTAGCCGATGTTGCAGATACCATTAGCGAGCTCGGAACTCGCCCATCGATCGCACAAGTATCGTCTACGTCGTCAGAAGGTACGTTAGTTGAAAATGTTGGACAGTTGGTGCTTTCATTACGCGAAGAGATTGCTAGCTTACGAAAGGAGTTCAATGACAACCGCGGTCGGCCGTCGAATAATCACCGAAGATCGCGTTCGCGTTCAAAATCGCGCGGTAGAAACGATGAGAGCGGAATTTGCTGGTATCACTCGCGTCACGGACAAAAGGCGTTGAAATGTACAAAGCCATGCAATTATGAATCGGGAAACGCTGCGGGCAGTCGTTAATGACGGCAGACGACACTGGCCCACTCTCGCGCCGTATTTTCATCATGGACAACGAATCAAAAGTGCAATTTCTAGTGGATACCGGTGCAGATTTGTGCGTGTATCCCCTGGCCCTCGTTAAACAAAAGCGTGAAAAATCAACATATGAACTATCCGCCGCGAATGGTTCGTGCATCGCGACTTATGGGACAATTACATTGAATTTAAACTTAGGACTGCGTCGAGATTTCGCGTGGAGATTCGTTATAGCTGACGTCACGAAACCAATTATCGGTGTGGATTTTCTTGCATTTTACGACTTGCTGGTAGATGCAAGAAACCAACAATTGGTGGACCGAAATACAGGACTCGCGACTACAGGGAGTACCGTGAATGGTGAAACTCAGAGTATTAAGATTGTCACAGGATCTACTCGTTATCATGATTTGCTGTCAAACTTCCCGGACATTACACGACCGGCCGGAACAGCAAAGGTAAAGCACAACACGGTGCACCACATAAAGACAACACCAGGACCTCCAGTTTCTCACAAACCGCGACGCCTCGCGCCTGATAAATTGAAGATCGCGATTAAAGAATTTGGTGCAATGCTCAAACTGGGAACAGCAAGACCCTCTAAGGTCAGCTGGTCATCACCGTTACATATGGTGCCGAAGCAAGGAGACGAATGGAGACCATGTGGCGATTATCGCGCGGTCAACGCGCGCACGGAACCCGACTGTTATCCCGTACGTCACATCCAGGACTTTGCACACAATCTCAATGGGAAGAACATATTTTCTACCATTGATCTCGTAAAAGCGTTTCACCAAATTCCGGTTGTGGAAGAAGATATATGCAAAACGGCTATCACAACACCCTTCGGTTTGTTCGAGTTTCCTTTCATGACTTTTGGACTGAGAAACGCGGCACAGACTTTTCAACGTTTCATCGACGAAGTGACGCGTGATTTTGATTTTTGTTTTGCGTATATTGATGACATTTTGGTAGCATCTTCGTCAGAGGAAGAACACGAATGTCATTTGAGAACACTTTTTACACGGTTACAAGAGTACGGTGTTGTGATCAATCCTGCAAAGTGTGTGTTTGGACAATCGATGGTAAAATTCCTCGGATATCTCGTGAGTAATAGTGGCACTCAACCTTTACCGGACAAGGTTGATGCAATTCGGACCTACCCGCGACCGCCGACAGTGAAACAATTAAGACGGTTCTTGGGGATGTTAAATTTTTACAGAAGATTCGTACCCAAAGCAGCAGTAATTCAAGCTCCCTTGAATGACCTTTTACGTGGAAACGTGAAAGGAAAAGCTCCTGTCAACTGGAACTCAGAAGCAGAATCAGCGTTCGAAATGTGTAAAACGAGCTTGGCTGAAGCAGCACTGTTGGCCCATCCGAAAATAAACTCTCCTCTCGCTGTGTTTTGTGATGCATCTGATTTTACAATTGGTGCTGTTCTTCAACAACTCGTTAATGATAAATGGGAACCATTGGCTTTTTTCTCCAAAAAGTTGAGCACCACGGAACAAAAATACTCTGCATATGATAGAGAATTGCTTGCAATTTACCAGGCAATTAAATATTTTCGTCATATGTTGGAGGGAAGAATGTTCACCATTTATACGGATCACAAACCCATCACTTTTGCCTTTCAAAAGAAAGACAAACAATGCTCACCGCGACAATTTAGATACCTGGACTTCATAGGACAATTTTCCACCGACATTCGCCACGTCGCTGGCGAGGATAATATTGTTGCCGATGCACTCTCACGCATTGAAGAAGTGGAATCCGCCCTGGATCTATCATCTTTGGAAGCAGCACAAAGAATTGATCAAGAACTACAGAGATTAGAGAAGGACTGTTCTACAAATCTTAAGCTGAAGCTAGTTAAACTTCCTGGTACAAACGTGTCTTTAGTGTGCGATGTATCTACGTCAACTGCTCGCCCATATGTTCCAGAATCTTTTAGGAAACTCATATTCAACAGCATTCATGGACTCTCGCATCCCGGAGTGAATGCAACGGTCAAGATGATATCACAACGGTATGTGTGGCCTTCAATGAAAGCTGATTGCAGGTCGTGGGCTCGCAGCTGCATACAGTGTCAACGCTGCAAGGTCACACGACATGTCGCTACATCGCCAGGTAACTTCCAACTTCCATCACAGAGATTCGAGCATGTTCATTTGGATATTGTTATTATGCCGAGCTCCGAAGGATGCAGGTACTGCCTCACGTGCGTGGATAGATTTTCTCGTTGGCCAGAAGCAATACCAATGCAAGACCAAGAAGCAGCCACTGTCGCCCGTTCCTTCTATACAAACTGGATCGCAAGGTTCGGCACCCCGCTGCGTGTAACAACAGACCAAGGAAGACAATTTGAGTCACACCTTTTCAGAGAATTGAATCACCTCACTGGTACGACTCATTACCGGACAACCGCCTACCACCCGTCAGCCAATGGAATGGTTGAGAGGTTCCACCGACAATTGAAAGCAGCAATCAAGTGTCATCAATCAGCACGATGGACGGAAATCTTGCCTACTGTTTTGTTGGGCATTCGTTCAGCACTTAAAGAAGACCTACAAGCAACGTCCGCGGAAATGTTGTATGGGCAATCTATACGACTTCCTGGAGAATTGTTGTCACCATGTGTAACAGCAGCAACAACAACAACAAGTTTCATCCAAGACCTCCGACAAAGTGTGCAGCAACTTCGCCCAGTCAACGGCACACGTCACGGAGAGAGACGTACGTTCGTATTTAAGGATCTCGCCACAGCTGACTACGTTTTCGTTCGCCACGATGGACCAAAAAGTATTCTTCAGCTCCCCTATGATGGACCATTTAAAGTTATTTCGAGAAAAGGGAGTACCTTTGTGATTGATATTCACGGGAAACACGTCACAGTTTCCGTGGAGAGAATTAAGCCAGCGTATATCATGCCGGACGTTGACGAGGTTCCTGACGAAGATGATGCAGAGGAACCGTTTCAAATAATCGTCAACCGATCACCAGAACCACTTCCAGAACAAGAACATGTTGTCGTCGAACAACTTCCAGTAGCAGCTGAGCAAGTTCCAGGACCATACCCAGAAGCAGTTCAACTTCGAGAAGTACCAGATAATAGTGTTCGAACCCGTTCCGGTAGACAAGTTCGGTTTACGAATCGTTTTCAGGCTGGTTTCTCGTGATCATATTCACTGGAAGGGGGGTACTGTGGTGATTGTGCCTGTGTAAATTTGGCATTATAATTTCTTGACAAAATTAATTCTTTCTGAAACTCTTGACAAAATTAATTCTTTCTGAATCATACATACGACAAATACACATACACACACACACCTTTTGTTGTTACACTGAATATTTTCAAATTGTTGTACTTCTCATTTTCACACATTTTTTGTACCTAAAGTGCTCAGGGCAAACTGTTTACCGAAGATACCTCTTTTTTAATCCTTAACAGCCAAACTTTCTTTTTTATTGCAAACGTCTGTTTTCTTATTACCTTACCTATCCTATTCAAGGTTAGGGACAAAATCGACCATCGACCCGATCATAAAAATCGGTTCGGGGAGGATTAAGATAACTCGAGTACCCACTCCCACTCGTACCTCATCTTCTTTCCTTTTCTAATTACCATTTTCTATCCTTTTTCTATTTTCCCAATTGAGAAAAGGTCCTCCATTTTTGCCAGTTACTTACCCGCCTTTGCACTGAGCACAAGCACACATCTTAGCTTCAAATATTTTACAATAAATATATATTTTAATTTAATCGCAGCCATTTCATTTGAATACTCCCTTACCACTAAAAAATGAAGAAAAAAAATATGTGCTAAATGAAATTGTAAATATTTATAACTTTTTATATTTAGATGTTAAATCAAATCAAATTGCGAAATTGGAGATAATCTGTTGCACTTTATTATCAAACTGACAAAAGGGATCATCTTTTTTTTGTTTCTTTATTTTTTTCCGTCTTTCCTTTTTTTTAAATATTATGCGAAACAAAAAAAAAGTTGTTTGATCTCAAATCTATATAGAATGTCATTCGCAACACTTTATTATCAAATAACACGACTGATTATTGTATAAATATTATGAATATAAATTGTGTGTGTCTCAATATTTTCATGATATATACTATATATATGGACTTGATCTTGAAAATATGGATTTTCTATCATATAGATATTATTCAAAAGAAAAAAATTTTTATAAAATTTATGGGATTAATTTTTATTAATTAATTAATTGTAATTTTCTAATTTTTTCCTTTCCGAATTTGATAGTTTTTCAATTAATTTTCTTTCTATACATTTTTTAGGAATTAATTTTCGTTAAAATTAATTCTTTTTATTTATTCAAACAATTTTTATTTCTTATTTAAACAATTGCAGGTAAAAACTTTTAATCCCGAGGTGCAAAGCCACACGTCCATTGAAAATATTATTATAAACCTAATGTTATCACATGAACAGAACGTGAAATGCTTCGAAGCAATAAAGATAACTTTCTATATTTATATATAATTAGGCTGTCATAAAAATGAAGAATGATATCAAGTTATTGTTATTGTTATACATGGATATCATCTACAAAAAAATTATTATTAAAATATTCATGTCCATTTTTGTAATATTTGAAAAATTGGGAAAAAAAATTTTCTAAATTATTTTTTAAAAAGAGCACAATATTGATGATTAAATAATCGTGTGTACAATGAAGTAAAGCGTTTCATTCTATATCGTGAATTAATCTTATCTTTTGGTTTATGTTTATTTTCTTCTCTTTTTTCCCCCGCCAAAAAAAGAAAAAAGGTTGATTTAGCAAATGTCAAGACTTGTACCTTTGGATATGCCGAAGAATTGTGAGCATTTTGAGACGTTTATTTTCAATGTCTGATAGGAGAGACTCGAGCAAACCTTAAATATGTCCTGCTTTGATAAGAGAGAAAGCAAAAGATATCTTCTTTAGCAAACTTTATTGATTGCT